ACTCAATGCGCAACATTCTTGAAAATAATATTCATTATTCACTAATATCGCCTGGAGAATTTGTTTTAGTTCAGAAATCTTTAATGATGTTGACATATCAATTTTGTTTATAAATATGAGAATTTTTGCTTGTTTTAACTTTGAATTTTTCAATAGTTGTTCAAGGAAACATTTTGTTTCGTCTAATTTATCTGTATTGTTACTTGCATCTGCTACAAAGATAAATTTTGTTGTCACTGGTTGTTTCCACCATTTTCCCCAAATATTCCATTTAAATGCTTGCAATTCAATATAATTTGGTGGATCTCGAATAATAGTGTTAATTTTGTTGTTCAGATAAAGTTGAGGAATAAGAGTTGATTTTCCACTTTGAGATAATCCATATACCAAATACAAAGAACATTTATTACCCATGAAGATATACTGTATACAATTCTTATAGTAATAAAAAATCTTGTTTACTCGTAACAATATATATAATGGATACTAACAAAACAAAATGAACTTAGTTTCTACTTTTCTGTATCCATGAGTCATGTTTATCTAATGATGTAATCTTTTTTTGTGTACAGCTGATAAGACAATGACTGATATCTACACGTCACTTATTGAAAAACATATCTCTGACAGGAAGTTTTATGCAGCTATAAAACTATATGAATCACCAGGTCGTCTTCTCCCGGTTGACAAAATTATGGCTAATGAGAAAATGGCTTCCATGCACATCTTACTTATTGAAAGAGATATATCCGATCAGCAGTTCTATTCAGCTATAGAAACGTTTAAATCAGGATGTGATCTTCTGCCGAATCTCTAACTGAAATTAGGTGAGAAAGTGTCTTCGATCTACATACCGCTTATCGAGAGAGACAGAGATGTCTGATGAGAATTTTGGCCTAGCTATGCAAGCGTATGACTGCAGGTCGCCGTGTGCAGAGTGAGAAAATCACTGATATCTACACGTCACTTATTAGAAAACACGTATGTGGTGCGAAATCTGATCAAGCTGAAAAAGCATATGAATCAGACGGCCGACTTGTGTCGACTCACAAAATTATGGCAGATCCGAAAACGGCTGACATCTGAATATCGCCTATTGAAAGATGTATGATAATGCAAAACTTTATTCGGATATGGAAGCATATGAATCAACACGTCGTCGTCGGTCTGGTCCCCAGACTATCGCTGATGAGAAAATCGCTGATATCTACAGGTCACTCATACAGATGCATACATCTGATGAGAATTTTGATGAATCTGTACAAGCATATGAATGACCACGTCATGTTCTCTCGAGTCACAGAATAATTGCTCATGAGAAAGCAGCGGATATCAATACGTCACTTATTCAGAGATATTGCTCGAAATTGAAAAGACAGTTTACTCGCAGTATTTAGCTAGAACAGCATTTACAAGTAAAGAAAAGTACAGGTTTCATAAAAAATACGTCTTTCAATTAGCTAAACTTAACAGCAACTTTCACTCAAAAATATCGGCGCAAAGTTTTCTCCAGCAGATCCACATTTTTATCGTTCAACCAACGGCTGTTCGAGGTATCTCATAGAGAATATCTATACTACTTCCAGGACTGAGCCGTTCGTTATGAAACACTCTTTTTCAGTTTAGGGTTTTTCGAGCAGGTAGAAAAACGGACACTTAGCTTTTGAATTATGTGCGAATATCCAAGGATCAATCTATCTCAAATGTGCAAAGTTAAAAGTCTGCGAGAAAAACGATCGTTACTTATCCGCACAAAAAAACCTAAAATAAATGACAAAAACTGTAAAGAATTCATAATCCTCATCGAAAGGCAATCAACGACTGTCTAAAAATGCAAGGTAACGCTCCTCTGCACTCGCTCTGTCCCTTGATTTTAGGAACTTATATCTGCGAATGATCTTCCATGGCCATGGGATTTAATCCAAGACAACGCTCATCATCAGGTCGCCGACGCATTGTATGTCACTAGTTTATCGGAATGTGTCAAATTAGACAACGTAGCGGCTGTTAAAGCATAGAAACTAGCACTTATATTTCATAAAACTAAGTATGAACTCTCAGAAATTCCCAGATCCCAGGTGTATAAAAAAAGAGATATCTATGCACTTCTGATTCAATCAAAATTATGAACTTTCGAACATTTTGCCGTTCTGCGGCACGAGAGTGGCTAGCTTTCACAGTGCATAGATGGTTTATGTGCTATCCACTTACAATATGCTTGATTTTAAGACAACAGGAGTATTAAATAAGAATAAAAAACATTTTCAAGACTAGTAACAGCTGCTACGCTTTAATCCGTTCAATTTTTTTTATCTCCAGGAATTCCAATAAAGTCATTTTCTAAACGTATTTTTCATAAACAGTTTTGTATTAGTTTAGTTAAAACTAAGATGGTTTGCGAATTAACAACTATTTCGCCTCTACTAGAGTTTAAGGCGCCCCCTCACCCTCAGAAATGGTGATTTTCGGTCAAAAAATCGGTTTTGAGATACGCACATGGAAAGATAGCCTGAAGTGTCTACTTCCAGAATCTGTATTGCTTTTGGTTACAAAACTGATTTTTCGGGGATTTTGAGCAAGTTTTCTAAGAGCCTCGAAAAAACAGGTCTTCAAATAATGGCTTTTTCCTGGATACTTATGCAATTAAAAATTTTCTGAAAACACAGCTTTGTAGAGCAAATATTTCTGATCAAAATAACACCTCGCACAACTCTGTTTGACCTTGCATCCAAAAGTTACAGGCAGTTTCCCAGAAGTCCTAAAATCGAGTATTTCATACAGCGTTTGATACAGCGTTTTCACTATATAAGAGTTACACCTGAAGTGCGTCCCAAGATTTTTAATAGCGGTTTGGCGTACATAGTTCATTCTCTTTTTGTTTAAAAGAGGAAAAGAAACTACATCGACCGACCGGCGTTGATTTTTGAATTAGGTCTTAGTTTTTTGTCAAACTGAGGATTTTTCGGGTTTCGGAGGTTGTTGGTTGCCTGGAAAACCAATAAAGGCTTAATTGAAAAATCGGCGCCGGTCAGTCGATGTAGTTAGGTGTCTAGTTTAAAAGAAAAAGCCCCGAACTCTCCAGCTTGAAGTATATTAGAAAATCTTGGGACGCCGTTCAGGGTCCTTTTTAGACCTTGATCTCTAGAAAACTCCTAAACCGTAAGACTTGGAGACAAAAAAAATTTTTCATTCCCGTAACTCATTGTGCCGAATATTTAAGGAAAGTTTCGTCAAGATCGGATGTACGGTGTCGGAGATAATTTCTGAGGGGGGAGGCCCTTAAGGACAGAGTAAAAAGTAGGTGAAAACATGAAAACAGTAATCGATATTTTTGACTTTTGTGATCTGGAAAAGAGGGCGAAAACGAAGCGGGCCAGAAATATCTTTGATGCCATTTTGTAGAGCTCGACGAGTACTACAAATGTGAGAAAAAGAAAAAAATTCAAGTGAACACTTTTCGTGCTGGGACGCCTGAAAGTTGGCTATTTTGAAAAAAGGGCCTTCAAAGATACGCGTTGTACTGAAGGACGGAGATAGATATCGACATTATCCTTTTCTATTGTATTAAGCAGCTCTTTAGCTTCATTTTTATCTATAGTGTATGAACTTTTTGCTTTCTTTTGCCTTCAGGAGAGGTGAAATACTAAGTGCCCTTTTTGCATTTTCGGCTATTTTATGACAGCTGCTCTGACCTTCTAAAAAAGTACTCGGACAAGTTTTGAGTAACAGCAGTGATACTACTCAAGCTGGTCCTTCATATGGTATACTAAACGTCGAGGTTAACTCTATGCATGTAGAGAAAAACAAGGTCACAGTTGCTTCATTGTAAGAGAGGCCGAAACTTGACATCCCTGAAAAGGCATGTAGAATATGACTTTTTTAATGAACAAATATGTAACTCTATGTAAATTTTTATGCTCTACACGAGCAGAGCCTTGAAAGTTTTGCGGCTAGTATGTCAGTATAAAGTGGGCGGATCTGAATGGACATACCGTAATATAAAGCTAAAACATTTTTTGGACACCCGCTGAAGATCCGAAGGGAGGCTGTAAGTATTTCTGATCAATTCGCCATGATAGACTATCTGTATTCAATAAGTTTTATTATCCGTAGATGACTTTTTTTGTGTTATCAAACTGGACTGATTTCTGGCGACGTCTATCTCCCAACTACAGAAATGTTTGCTTAGTTTTTTTTCTCTCTGCATAAGTAATTATTTTTTCAGTCATCGATTTGTATATTTTCTCTGTTGTGTAAAAATTAATTTTGTACTTTTCTCTCTTGTGATTCGCTGATCCATAGAATATCTGACAGCCATTTTTCCGTATTTTGAGTACAGACAGACAACCATTTTGTAAGACCCTAGACGAAAGTCAAGGAAATAATCAGTAACAGAGCCTTCCTCGTTTAAGCCAACTCGAAGCAGCTTATTCTGTTTCACTACAAAAAATTCTTCTTTGCGTCCTACTTTCTGCTTTGAGTCAGCCACTCGTTCTTAACTATCACTAATCGTACAGATTTAGAAAAAAGATCATTTGAGAGTGTAAGAGAGGTAGATGAAACAGCTGAAGTTATTTTTTCGATATATATTTTAGTTATTGAGTAGTGAGTCTCAAAAGTTCAGCATATTTTCAATAACTTTTCTATGAGATAATTAATTGTCACGTGCATTCAATATGAATAGTGTAGAGTGATTCATTGTTTA